TTGAAGGCTCGAGATGTTAAAAACTATTATTGTGTAAAATGAATTAATTTATATAATATATATAAAAAAAAGTATAAATACACATTTTATTTATTTATATACTGTGATACAAAATCTCGAGGCTTTTTAAACAACTCGATATCAACAGTTGTATTAAGTTTGCCAAAGACTAGTGTTTTAGCTTGAAACTCTTCAGTTTGCTTGCGATGCACATTTAAAATACATAATTCCTGTATTTAACGTACACTACCCAATCCTATTTTTACTATATATTTAGTAGTAAATTTATTATCTAAAAATACCAGTGAAAACTAAAGTTAATATTGGTTAAGCTAAATATAATCGTGATCGTGACCTGTTATGCGTCCTCCTGACACTGACGAACGCTCGGCGAACGTATCCAAACACTCGCGACTCCGAGATTCGGGGAATTGATAACTTAAGACGTCAAAAGTCGTTTAAAAAGCTATTAACAAAGGTTAACTATATCATTATAATGAAACCATTTATACGTCTCACTGCTGGGCACGGGTCTCCTCTCCGGCGAGGGTTATGGCCATAGTCTTCATACGTTTTCTGAGGCTTGTGAACCTTCTTCGGCGTACGGGTTTCAATCACGATATTTCTAATTAAATTTCGCACATGAATTCCTTCTTCTTTTAATTGTAAATGTTATGGCGCCATCAAAGCAATCGATGATTACGCCAATGGTAAGTTGAGAAACACACGCGTTTTTACTCAAAAATTTACCGGTGAATTTCGACATAATTCAATGAGCGGAGAATCTACAACGACAGAACCTGCAACATAAAACTCGTAGAAACTGAAAGGCATGATCTGTCTTTTTCGAAGACGGAGTAAAATGACATTTGCAGTGTTGCCAGTTATCGTGAATTTTAAATAGTCGTGTAGTTGTCGATAGTTTTATCGATAGATTGTGAAAGATAAATTTTGCTGAAAGTGTCTTGAATTGTGACTGTTACGACGTTCTAATGATTACTAATTGTTACTGCCTTTTTTATTCTTATTTTGACAGCTGGTCTTCTAGTAATTGAAATAAATTGTTATTTTAACTTATTGGAAGACCAACGGCTCTCTTATAGAATAAAAAACTGAAATAATAATGGAGAGCCAATTATAAGTCCTAACCGACAGACACACATTACGTAAATGAGCATTAAATTATAACTAAATATATAACTACTAACTTATACTATATACATTTTCACAGCACTTAATAATTACCTACTCGCCAAAAAACAAAATAACCAATAAGACGCTTCACCAATACAATACAAGTGTTAAAAAGGTCAATATCAACCTGCTTGGACAATTCATTGAAGCTATTACTCGCACGTAAGAGATATGCATTCCGCCGAAAATTCGAAGAGGCCATAGGTACGCACAAAAGTGAATTAAACCTAAGGGGCTTTGTAGGGGCTCTAAGAGATATTTTGGACACAAGTTCCGGGGAGTCCACGGCACCAGAAGCAATTTTTCGCAAAAATACTAAGTCTGCTATCTGACGTCGTACCTCTAGTGGCAAAAGATGATGTTTCTTACATATATCAAGATACCGGGTTGACTCGTACCGCTCCCTAGTTCGAAAACATAAAACTTGATAAATCTTTTTTGCACATTTTCAAAACGCGATATGTAGGTATTGAGGGCTCCAGACCTGCGATGCGTATTCAAAGTAAATGCAGTGTGTATGTACGAATTTACAAAACTTGACAATTCAAATAACCTGTGCCCAGCAATTGAACGAACAATGTCCCGATGGTGATTCAAATGAAACAAGTTAGATAGTTAAATAGCCATATTTATTACATAAGCGTAACTAGCATTCTGTCGATAGTCGATAAAATAATTATCGAGTGCAATCACTAGCTGCTTGTAAGTGGGCAATACTAGCGCAATTTACTGTCATTTTAATCTTCAAAAAAGACAGACTATAGGTTGTCCTGTTGGTCATTTATTGGTGGTCTAATTGCGTTTGACATATTTAAGAAACTTGCAAGTGCTTGAAGCCACGCTTAGGGCGCATTTATTTGACACGAATTTCATCGCGGTGCCGCCGCGCAGCGCCGGCGTGCATCTAACTGTCATGGCAAAGTACGCTCTATTTATTTAGCTTTTACGTTTTAACTTAAATTAGCAACCCGGGCGCGGCGGCGAAGCTGGTTTGTCTTTGGTCTACGCGGCGACCGCGCGGTTCTATTATTCAGAGGAATTTAAATGTTGTTACCTAGCACATATAATTCAGATTCGCTATTAATATACGTGAAAGCGTGGTAACTGCGAAAACTTTCTCGTGGTGTAACAGGCGCCTTATTCATTCGTTAACATGTTAGCCGCAGTTAATTCGTTGGTTTGACAAAACGTAATCCGAAATGTTGACGTAAATTGTTACTTAATATTAACATTCATTGCAAACTTGTTGGCTAACACGGCCGATTATTATTTAACTCGGTAACTCGATGGAGGAGGGGAATTAATATTCGTGAGATATTTTGTTTATTAATCGTTCATTTATAATGAGTCAATCTAGCTCTTAAATGCAGAGTAAGTAATAATAATAAAATATTGCTCAATTCCCCTATACCCCCAATGCCCTTACACCCCATCATAATCTATCGATGGCCTAAGCCTGAGGGTCTATTCTCGTTCTCCGTCCAATATACGTCTGAAACAACTACTGTCAAATGAGTAGTACTCGACCAAATAAAAGACGCGTGATGCGAATGAATCTTCATACTTGACATTGTTTTTTATTATAGTAGACCCCCTGATGTCGTCACAGTGAGCCTCTGGGCGCAATTTTTTTTTGTATCCACATTTCACAATCCTACAAGATTTTAAATTAAATGTGTTGTGTGCGCACCAATAAATATGTGAATGTGTATTCTTTTGTTTTATTGTACTCGCTTTTAGAATATTGGCATTGCACGATCACGCTAGCTCCTTTGCATGTTTATATTTTATTTGCATATTTATATCATATTTCCTTCAAGCTATTTTGCTTGTAATATTAAAGTCATCGTGTACATTGACACCGCTAAGTATGCTGCGGCCGATAGTTGAAAGGGCATGGGACATTCTTTAACCGACTTCAAAAAAAGGAGGAGGTTGCCAATTCGACTGTATTTTTTTAATACATAATTATGTTCAGTAATAATAATAATACAAATGTGTGAATCGATTTTGATTTTTTTTTTCGTGTAAAGAGGGTACCTGAGTATTGGTCCCATTTAAATTGGAAGAAAATATTCCACCTCTAAGGGTGGCAAAGTAGGGGATGAATTCGGTTTCACGTACTTTTCGGTAACCGATTTCAATAATACTTGGCAAATGTAATTCCACGAATATTTGAAGCCGGTTTTTTTTTATAAAAATGTTACAATTATTTGAAAAATGTATTATGTATACTGTCGCGATCAGTAAAAACATGGCGGTCTTTCATATTTTTATTTTTTCGTATGTGGTGAAGGTATGAAGTTATCGCAAATGAAAAGTTGATATTTTTTAAATTTCATTGCTTTAAACATTGTCTTGGTTTTGAGTTTTGTCACAAGCGCCCTTTCAACTCAGGGTGGTAGTATGTCAAGTTTTCGATAACCTAGACAGCTTCTAACGGGCATTAAGCGCAGACCACACCGTGAGCGAAAATAAGTTAGCTTGGCTTACATAGCTGCATGTAAACTATGGGATTTAGCTGGATTAGTTTAGTTTGCGGTGTGGTCTGCGCTATGCACTGGCATATGCATGTAACGTGTGTGTAATAAGTTTCTACGTCTGACGTAAACAAACAAAGCAATTTCGACTTGATGGTAAGTATGGTTCAGTTTTGATTCTTATATCAATATATTTATGAGAGATGTGTGTGATTCGCAATTTCCTTATCGGTCAGTGCGATGTTCAGCAGGTGGAGAACGGCAGCGAGCTGGAGGCGATCGGCATGGGCGGCGGCGTGGCGCAGGTGATGCTGCAGGGCAGCGGGGGGGAGCCACAAGTGCTGCAGGTGCTCTCGCTCAAAGACGCAACTGTGCTCACCAAGGCCATGGTAAAAATGGGTTTACTATTTTGCTCCAGTATGACTATATTAAAAATTTTACTATAATTGAGATATGGTCGAATAATCGATGCACCGTTTTAAAGTTATTAAGGTGTTTTACTGCTTTCGTGCATAATTCGCTGTTCCATTTTGTTTTGTCAAAGAAGAAAAGGTTGCATTTTTAATACAAAGTTATTTTTTGTAGATCGATACATTAGTAGAACTCCTTGTGAAAGTTCGTCCAGGCTAGTACTGCCAATTTACCCATTCCTGCTGCCAGGCTGATGACAGAATTAGTGTGTACCGATTTTGAAGGGTAAAAAGGGTGAAATTACAGGCATATGGAACTTGTCAACTTATGTCTCAGGGTGACGGGCGCAGTGGCAGTGTCCCGCAGATCTTTGCAATTTAAAACTGAGTGTCACTGCAACTGTTATGGACAGGCGTGTAGCTTACCGTCGGACGCACTACTTGTTCGTCCCGTCACTTGATATTATAAAAAAAATGAGAAGATTTACAAATCTTAGTAAATGGAGAAATGTTTTTTTTATAATAATAATAACGCACACACTCAACGTAGTCCCGCACTAGGGAAACCCTGTGTCCCTGGTGCCATGGACAAATATTTACATACAAATATTTCTCTCCCGGGAATCGAACCTAGGACCTCTGCGTGGCAGTCAATAGTCACCGTTTAGCCACAGAGGCAGTTAATATGACATGGACACTGGCTTTGCAGCAAGTGAAGGCAGAGCGGGACACGGTTGTGACGGACTCCTAGCTGATGGGCCTGGTGGCCCCGAGCGAGTGCCCCGACCTGCTAGAGCAGTCGTAGCGGCGCGCCCCGGCCGCCGCATCCGCACCCGCGGAAGCGGCGGCCGCGCCGGACCACTCCGGCACTCGCTACTACGTTGTGCAGATGGACGGCGACGGCGCCGCAAGGTACGTCATCAACGACGACTCCTCACTCAGGTATCTCCCCGACGACGTCCCCACCGCTGATTCCGTCATCCGCGACGTCTCCGACCTGCCCGACATGCCGCACGTCAAGTACGTCGGCGAAATAGCCAACGCGGCCGACATCGGCGACGTCAGCGATGTGCGCATGGCTGACGTGGGCGAAGTGCCCGACGTCGGTGACGTCGATGTGGACTATAGCGCTGAAATGGTCGATGGTGACATGCGAGGCGTGCTCGAAGTCAACAACGGCGTCATTTCGAACGTTCGCGTCAAACGTGAGCACGAACGTGAGGACGCTGTGATCCCCGACATAACAATTACCGTGCGACCTTCCACGTCGTCGAAGTAAATTAGTCAAATCGTAGCGGCGGATTCTTCATTTGAAATGACACAGTCGAAGGAAACTTAGAGAATTACTGTACTTAATTGTAATTAAATGTTAACGAGGGTTACCCTACGATAATTCGAAACCATTATTTAGAATAATTGTATTTGGTCTCAACGTGTCGTCGACTATTGTAATATACGAAATGGGCTATATTTTGGACATAGATCCGTGTTAGTATAAATTATTATATTTAATTATTTAATAATTGTCCAAGGTTTGTCAGACTTCTGAGTGAGTGTTGTTTGGATTTTGAAGCCAATAAGTCAAAATGTAAACTAGCCATCAAATGGAGATTATTTGTTAACAAAGTGTAAACCTAATTTATTTTTCTGTTTTTATGTGTGCAATATTTTACCGTCACCTTTTTATTTAGGTTCTCCAAATGAATGTGCAACGAAGAGCCGTTGAAATGCCTTGTCACAGCGTTATCATAATCGATTCTTAAAAGTTTGATTAAGTAGATACAAATTGAATTCGTTGGTTCTAGTCAAGCTGCCGTTTTAAAGTAACTAGAGCGTTTTACTTTTTCCGCGGCGACACCTTTCGTCAATCTGTTCTAGTACCTATCAATTATTGCAACTAAATCAGGCCATTTTTTCTTGACTAGTGTAATTTTAAAAACGTGACGGCATTACGTGAGACATATTTGCGTCTAGCACTCGCTAGACTGTTGGCGTTAGTACTGACTAACGCCAACATTTTTGATAACATGTTAGTTTTGATCAAATAAATTCGCAGAAGTATTTATTATATAAGTAATTTTCAGTCTTCCCTTCTTAATTGCGGTGGCAATTTTTGTTACTTAAAAATTTTAGAATATTATCATGAAGTACTATTTAATATTCGAGTGTATTATCCTGAAATATCATCTAATATTTTATGATCGTATACTGGTATACTTAAATAATAAAAAAATATTATTTAACCATTCCGTAATAATACTGAAATTAAGTAGAGAAAACTAACCTGAAAACTGAAAATTACTCATATCGAGTCTGTTGTGCAATGGATTTGTTTCAAAAATAGTGCTGACCCTTTCAAACAACCAACAGCAAAAAGGACGTCCACAATATTTACACTTGTGAAATTAATTTCAAGTTTATAAACAACAATTAGGTTAGTTATATTTATTTACGAAAACATTCCTTTATATTTTATTATTTATACATTAATGTATAAGTTAGTCTGTTAATTGTTATAGTTGTTTAATTTATTCGTTTACTTAAGTTTGTTGCCATTCTAGTCTTCACCAGTCGAAAGTTTCTAGTCGTATGGATGATCGAGAATTTACAAAGAACTATAATGTAATTTCTGTAATATAAAATGTAATTTAAAATTATCCCGTAGTTTTAAAAAAGATACAGGTATGCTCTGTAATAAGTGTAAATTAGGAAAATGATTACGTTTACTATAACATGCTTTTTATGTTGAACGCATTAATACGCATGAAAGAAAGCCATATAGTAAGTAGTAAACAAACATATGACGGTTATTCTCGGACTAGTGTTCACTACCTGATTTCCGTGGCAATTTTTATTCTTTAAGTATTATTGTTATTATGCCGTATTATTTAATATTGGCGTATTGTATCGTGAAATATTTAAAAATTACAAGATAATATACTTGAAAATTTAGATAACATAAATTGCCACGGAAATTAGGTAGTGAACACTATTCCGAGAATGACGATAAGTTTTTCTAATTTACATCTTACGATTCTTGTATAAATGTTGTTAAGTAATTTTCGATTTCTCCATAAATATTCTTTGTAACTACGTGTCATCTAGATGAACGATAATGTAAATAGATAGATATGTAGCTAATATTCACTGGTTCGTCGTATTAGAATTACCAAGAATATAAGGCCCGCAATACATGTTGGCTGAGCCTAGGCCAACACGAGGCAAATTGATTAGACGAGTTCTGTGGAGCTGACCACAAGTTGGTGCACTGAAATAATATGGACGACGCCGACACGTAGAAGTTATTGCAGCTGCTGCTGTTTATTTAATGACCGCTTATAATTATTAAGTCAACCGCAATAAAGTAGTAAAAAGAAAAGACAAAAAGGAAGGTGGTGGATGCTGAGTATTCACAAAAATAGAAGGTAAGATGAACATTGAAGAAGGTCTTTGGGGTTCCAAATAACAGGTTCATTCTGATAAAACTCCAAACACTTGAAAATATCTTTATTTGTACGGAGCCACATTTTGCACTATTACCGCGACTGGCGCCAACCGAATATGGCGGGCGGACAAACGTGTACGCCATTTGGCCAAGTGTAGGCGAGCGCCTTTGATTTGTGTAGAAAAACCGAAACTGCTTCGAAGTGAGACGAGTGGTCGTGACAAGCCACGCCAAGTGAGCCCTATACCCGTTGGCGCTCGCCTTCACTCGCCTAGATTCGGCCAACATGTATTGCGGGCTTAACTCAAGGACAAGATGCTCTCAGTAGTATTGTAAAGTTCTTGTGTATTGAGATATCGATAATTATTAATCGCCGCGCAACATCCGATAAAGTGCAGGGTTACTACAGCACTAGTAGCATTACTTATTTCTTATTCTCTATATACAACCGTATACCTTTACATTGACCAGAAAATTTATGAATGACAATTGTTTCCAATTTGACATAGGGTAGTACCAACTTGTCAAATACGAAAATTTTCACAACAGATTACTGGTCAATCTATAGTAATTGTACAATTTAAAGCCTACCCAACGGGATTCAAAGTTCTGATAACTATTTAGGATTTAGTCGACTAGACATAAGATAGTCATCATAGAAAAGTACAAAGATCTATTTTATTCTCTTCTAAAAGACAAGTTTATTATTTGTTTTTATTTTGCCATATAATTTATTTTGAATTTCTATTTTTTCTTTCTATTTTGTTGTATACTACTGTATATGTATATAAGTAAGATTGTGTTTTGTCCCAACGATTTTATGTAACGACGAAGGCACAATTTTGTTGTTAGGCAATTTGTGATTGTAAATAATGGCATGAATGTGTGGATATTGCAATAATTAAAAGTATTTACGTACAGATATGTGGTTTTAATTTTTCAATAGGCAAACATATTACATGACCGGATAAGCTAGGTAGGTACCTAGCTACCTAAGTTAAAGAAATTGTTGTGAGCACCTAGGCCAACCTAAAAATAGAACTGATTAGTGACTCAAAGGGCTGATATTCAGTCATTAAGATTTTGAGATCGTACGAATGAAAGTTGTAAAATGTAATATTTTACTGTCGAGATAATAATTACGGGCTAGATAATTTACTATAATTTATTGGTACTTCATAAAAAAAAAAAAATGATGCAGTCGTGACATGCAGTTGTTAGGTAGGTTGTAGTTAAATATTCAAAACGTCGCGTACCTTAGCCATTTCCATGTTCCAAGAGCCTAAATTCGCAACCTTCATGGAAAAATGGCCTATGTGGAATTATGTCAAACACGTTAATATGTTTATTGTTCCGTTTAACGTAATTCCACTAATGCCATTCTTTCATGTGGGGTGATATCGTTTGGAAATTTCTTATTTTTGAGGATAATATAAATTCTATTCACTGCTTCCGTGGCCGAACGGTTACCATGATGTATGCCACGCAAAGGTCCCGGGTTCGATTCCCGGGCCGGGAGAAACATTTGTATGGCCTACATTTATTTCTTTCGTGAGTTTAGGTGTAATTGTGGTTGCCTATGTGTGTCCATGGCACCGGCGATACAGGGTTTCCCTAGTGCGGGGCTATAAGTGAGTGTGGTGTGTATATCACAGTTTATAGACAAATCAAGAAAGGTGACTTTGAAGAGGATTGCATTTTTCGAGATGATGATGTATTATTTTCCTTATTACGTTTATTTTTGGGGCGCTAAGATTCTTCAGGATCTCGTGTGTTCATAAGTTTTGAGACAAACTTTGACTTTAAAAAATAAAGCAAAATAATACTGGTAGCTGTTTAATTATTTTCACAACTTTGAATTGGAATTATGTTCCATTTGTAAGTACGTTTTTAAATGAATTTCTATTAGTTTTCTCGTAATGGAGGAAACAAAACAGTTACGTACTAGAATACTGTAGTTTCGCTAAATATGGCGGGGGAAAAACCATTGCAGATTTTCCTTGACATAAAATGTTTTGGCAACTTTGTATGTTACGCCTTAAAACGTTACAGGGATACTGATTCTCCGAAAGATCGCCAGACGTGGTCGCCCACGGTCTGTAAGGGCTACTGCTAACATTAAAATAATCAGAGAGCGACTCCGCCGAAATCCATGTTACACCCAGAACAAACTCTCTTTGCAGTTTTGCAAGGTAAAGACCTACAGTTGTAAGTTCACTTCTTAGACTCCATGTTACCTGTGAATTAAATTTTCCCGTAGCAAAATGATGCGTAATTTTGCTTGGTCGAGCGACAGAGACACTGGTTTTAGTTCGAAATTTTTATTTCGTACGAAATTAAAGTTATTTGAAAAATGTAACCGTATAGTATACAGTGTTCTATTTAGTTTAGTTGGTATAAAAAAATCATTGGTATATGTAAAGTACTTCTTGAATACAGCGGTAGGAATCTTGTTTTCACACCGTATGTTAATCGGTTTATATCTTCAATTTTGATGCAACAATTTCACTGTTATACGGGATCAACCAACGCCATTTGAGGTAGTACAGACTGTTAAATAGTCGCCCTCGTAAATTACGACACGAACGTTGTCCAATGCTGCTTAGGAGACAGGATAGGAAAAAGATACTCTTCACTGACGAAAAAATCTTGACAAAAACAGCATGGATGTTCCGGCTTCAGCGCGGCGAAATGTTTCGCGTACCCATTATCCGGCGAGTGTGGTGGTATGGTGGGAGGTTTCATATGCAGGTGTCACTCCGCTCCATTTTTGCCAACAAAGCGTTAAGGCGAAAGCAAAAAATTAATTATCAAAGACTGGGGAAGCCTGTACAACATACAATTTCGTTACAAAAATTGGCTTCCGTCCCGCCGCAATGTAAATTGAGCCTAAAGCGCCTGCTTTAGGCTCAATGCTTTACGCTCAAAGAAGCTAACCCTCGGTTACTCTGAGAGCTAACTGAATCCCATTGGAGAAAATTCATGCCGCGATCAAATATCGATTAGAACGTCTAAGAGCTTGTATTAAGAATAAAGCCGGTTATTTTGAGTAGTTTGCTTGTAAGATTAGTTAGAGTCTACTTATGATTATCTGAAAATTTTAAAATTACATTTTTTATTTTTTCACAAAACTTATGAACACACGAGGTAGTCTCCGAAGTAAATGTCAAAGAAATGGTGCATCAGTATTTATAGAATAATACAGTTTCGGCACAAGCACAAGCACTATAATAATTAAATAAAATAATGTAATTTTTACATTGGGCGATAATTAGCAGAAAAATGTGTATATTATTTTTACGTATTACTATATCATAACCTATTAGCTGTATTAAAAAGCATTACTATAGATCTGCGATTATTAATGGGGTTTTACGGTATCTCTATAAATATAGAGATAACATATTTTTCACACGTATTTTTTATATTAACCTGACACAAAAATCACTAAGAATAAAATGACATATATGTAGTGTAGTTTCTATAGATCAGGTTTTTTTTCAAATGCGGTAGTACCCCCTGGACAACATCAACGCCTTCAATTGCTTCAGAGGCGAGGCCCTTTCGCCCTAGAACTCTTCAGCGCCTACTAGTGGCGATATTTATAAAATATGGACAAAATTGTTACTTTTCATTGCGACCACCACTTTTATATTCTTTGCACAACCTTGCAATATTTCGTCACATAATCACTTGCAATGTTGCAGGATTACCCATCTTATTTATATTTACAAGTTCAAAGTAACGCAATCAAGATTGTTTTGAATTCCTGGACTGAACACAATGGATTAACTACATTATTTAGTATTTAGTGTTTTATAAACAGAAGCAGCAACTGAATCATTTATGACCGGATATCCTACTCAAATTTATTCATGTTTAGGTGCAGTGTTCAAGTCTACAAATAAATGGATATAAATTTTCGAATATTTATTTATTTTCCTGTTGCGGTGTGGTTGACATAGATTATAGCAATAAAGGAATTATGAAAACAAATTTATAAAAATAAAACAACAAACAAATCTTCTAACGATTTATACATTAGATAAGCTTGTTGAGTCTAAGAGTTGGTGGCTCGAATACTAGCGCTGAAGGCTTTCTTCCCATAATTCAAAAATACAATTGTCGACAACTATCATACAAATTTTTCTACAACTTATATATCACCGGTGACCTTACATCTCGAAAACACTTTGTAGAGCTAATTCAGGTTTGTCATAGCCGAGCTCCTCGGGTGTATCGATGCCAAGCTCTGTGAGAACGGGTTTGACTTCCTGGATAAGGTATGGGTAGATTTCATTAACTTTAGGGCCACATTTGTCCTTGCAGGCCTCCAGAAACCTGACAGCGAGTGCATAGTCATTCACCCGTCTGCAAGCGTACATCGCAGCCTTTATGATTTTTGGGTCGGGCACCAGATCCATGCCACACAAGTCATTCATACCTTTGCGGATCTCCCAGCCGTCGATGTCTTTTCTGTTGAAAAACGCCTCATATCTGAAACGTTACACAACACTTTCTAAATAAATGGCAGGCTATTAATGTACAGGTTGAAGTTGTTATAGGTCTGCCAGAACACGCATTTTGCTAACCCTTAGCACTAACCGAATCTGACTCGAGAAAAGGCCCGCGAGGGAAGATGGGAAGTTGTGGAATATTTTTAAAAAATGCATGGTCTTTTTACTTATTGACAGTACCAAGAGACATTAATGTAAGCATTCATTACTTTAAAAATGAGTCAGTTTAGTATACATGTTAACAGTACAATGTCTCCTTCATCGTTGTTTTAGGGTATTTGGTGAAGAAAATCGATACCTACATAAGCAAATAGACAGTATAAGACACGAAGTAGAAATATAGGTACGTAATATTCAATATCTATCCAAAATTTATCGCAATATACGCGTCGTGCTCAGTGTATAAAATAGTAATATCACAGATACAGATAAAATAAATATTCAGCAGGAGTAAAACAACGTTTTCAGTTACATAACGTCAAAATTACAGAAGGAAAGATAACCTGTTATCGAATTCTTCGTCTGATTCGACCGGGCCGCCATGCGATTTCCTCACGGAGACAATGGCACTAGCTCTGGCTGTTGGGAGCAAGGAACTCTTCAAGACAGTGGCCAATCTGCCTGTGGCTGATTTCAGCATTTTTGGAGAGAGGTTTCACGGAAACTTTGACAAAGATAACAAATGGCTGCCGAAAACCATAGATGAAAATTTTTTGCCAGTATTTTTTTTTGCAAATTTAGTAGTGTGCTGACATTAGTCGATTATGATAATTATGAATTAATTTAATTCGATGGCGCAGAGGGCGTCATTGTCGCAGATTCAAAGTTTTGTGTTGCACGCCTTTGCATTTGGTTGCACATGCAATCGTCTACTAATGTGCGACTCAGATGATCACGCCACATAGCTACAATCACACCACTGGTGCTGCAGTATGATGCCGCAACACTTTCCGCCCCATGAGTAATCAGCTTAATACTTTTTTACGTTCGTATGGGTAGGACAAAATGTGAAATAGCCATTTTCATACTCAATTAATACTTTATTGATAAATGAAATATAGTTAACAAAATTTCATAGTTGCTTACTATTACGAAATAACAGTGAGTACGAATTAAATTAGTCAATTATACCTAATAATACAAAGGCAGGCTTACACAATACCGACGTTTGCTAAATATATTAAGGCATGGGAAAAAATTAAAAGTTCATAATATAATGTCAATTAAAATTTCACTAGCTTGGGATTTATATTATGTAACTCATTCACAATTTGATACTATAAGGCTTGTTCTTTCATAGTTTCCTTCGTCTTTTTTTCTTGTGTGCAGTAATGCTTTCCTGTCCACTATCTTCCTCACTGGAATCAGTAGAACTGCTGTCACTGTCACTGCTAGACGAGCTGCTGTTTGATGAACTGTCTGAAGCAACACCAGTGCCTTGACTCATGTCCATGCCACTGGCAACCTTATAAAGCTCTGGTTCTTTAGCTTCTAGAACTTTGATCCATTTCTTGGAGAGCTTAGGTCGCCCACGGACAGTCTTGTGCCATACAACAGGGAAATTGGTGCGGCTGCAGAAGTTTTGAGTGACTGCAACAGTGTCGTCGAGGTTAAGGACCACGTGCCACCAGCCACCAGGAACAAATACTGTTTCACCAGGCTTTTGAAGTATTTCAACCTGAAGTGAAGAAAGTTTTAAAAAGCATAAAATTATGTGTACAGAACATATAAAAATTACATAAAACTAGCATACCGGTTTGAGCTCCTCGGGCCAGCTTTCTTGCTGAGTTTTGGGATAAATCAACTTGAACCAAGTTATGGCTTCATCCCTCTGCTTCCCTCCCATAGCTCCAGTTACCTTGATCAGTTCCCTTGGAGTTTGAGTGGGGAACAAGCACCATCTTTTGTGACCAAATACCAGTGCATTCCAAGCGCTTGTTCCTAGAGGATCAATGTGGATCCCAGTCCCTGAACGTTGAGGTCCCATCACAAACCAGCGGTATGGTGGTCTTCTTTCTTCTCCACAATATTTAAATAAATCATCCCTAAAATATTTAGGAATATCATAATCTTCAAGAAGCTTTTTCCTCCTGAGATGCTCACCAAAACTACTATCAAAAATATATAGCGGACTATCATCAGTCGTTGTCCTCATGTATTCTATGTAATACTTCATTTTCATTTTAACACTATAACCCTCATTGTCTTCTCCACACTTAAATTTTTGGTTACGGTACTTTTTGGCCAGTCTATCTAAGGTCCATTTGTAATTTGCTTTCCAGTTGGTTTGCACATTCGTTATTACAACAGGCTTGTATATTTTCTCATATTTGTCTATAAATTCTTCAGGAGAGACTGTGTTAACATCTATTCGGTCGACATTGTCAGAACATTTTAGGAAGTCTTCAAAATTAGAAGCGTACTTCAAGGCCGACCATTGGTATTTGTCAGCTAATTCTATAAGTAAAACAATTATGTGAAAATGTTTGAAAAACAATAAACAACAGTGGTATAAACTATCATAGTGTAATAAAGATAGTTACATATAATTTAGACTTGTTTTTAAGACACTCCATTAGTATTACTGAATATACAATATCTGAATTTGGAAATATCTGCTTCATTTCTAGCAACATCATTACTTAAGCTGTTATACAAATTAATTGGTACAAGTATAGCTCACGGTTTTCTTTCATTTTCATAAAGGTCTATAATGTATATCATCCTAATTTAAAAATTTATAAAATAATAACCACTTCTTAACCAATTGAGGTTACTTGACAATTCAAGGTAGATAACTGTGGCAATTGTAGTTGGGCAAGATTTTAGCAAGATATGCAAGATAAATAAAGGTGAATCAGTGGCTTGTCAAGGACATAACGGTTACAAGGACGCATCAGGGGGTTGTTGCCATTTGCCGAGCTCTTCGAGACCTATCCCGAAAACTGCAAAAACCGCTAAGATTATCACAACAAAATCTTGATATAAGGGTTGGTATAATGAGTCATGTTAAACAAATGCCTAATTTATGCATAACCATAAGTAATTTCCCAAAAACTATTAGTGAAACAGGTAAACTTTCACAAATAGTTTCAACACGATAAATTTACGTTTTCTCACCAGGTCTAGCTTTCCTTTTCACTTCTTTGATTCGCTTTTTTACTTTGTGCGACAATTTGTGTTCATTGTCCATTTCTTTATAGCAAACAAAAAGAAATTGCCGCAAAACCGTGTGCAAATTTTGTAATTGATTTGTTTGATTGACACTTCGAATCCTATTGTCTATGGGTAGGATTTCCATAGTGCTGTGCTTAAATTAATTCAATTTCAAATCGATTGACTAACGTGAGAATAAAATTGAACGCATCCATAATGATATTTGAGTGTCGATGTCGATTTTTTTGTTTTGGCAATACTAACAGCAATTTTCGACGCATTGGTGTTCAGACTGATAATTTTTTAGATTTTCATATTATAACCGAAATAATTTGAAATATTTGTGATTATTTTCAGTTTATAATTTCATTATATTAACCGATTTTCAAATCAATCACATTTGCTAGAAAATTGAAAATTTAAAGTGATTGATTTGACTGTTGTAGTGAAACAAATTTCAAACGTTCCAGTCTGAAGTGTGCAGCTAGCTCGATATAACTGTCAATCTGGGTGTAGAAAATTATTTGTAATTTTCACCGGTTCTCATGTGTAATTTCCAAATGTGTTAGACTATTTTTGAACCTATACCAGCTGGGAAATAATGTTCTATAGTGTACGTGGTGCTTGAACTTGTGCAAAGATGGATGACGGTATGGTAAAGATTCAGTCCGGGATCAACATCAACATAAAAAGAACAGATGGTGAGTACTGTTATATTTAATTTTTAGCAACTAGAAAGTGTTTTCTCGTATTTTGGTGAAGCATTTGTTGACGTAGTTACCGGTCCAGTGATTGGTGACATAGGGACGTGTTTGTGGGCTCATGATTCAGATGAACGGTTCGTATGAATCGGCCTGACTTTTACTCGATAATTTTGTACAATACTGCCAGTTCTGTTCGTATTTGGACTAGATAAAGTAATAGCGCGGTTGGAGCGAATCAATCGCGACGCAAATGGTGTTTGAAAAGTGAAAGCTTGTAGTATCACCATAGTCTGTTTGCTAAATCTGTCCCATTCATCAATTTTATATAGAAAACACGTCTCTTTCTTTGTCTATGATGATAAAGCTTTGTATAACATTTTACATTCCCCTAGGTATTGTTTTTACTACATCTAAAGAACACTTATTTACTTTAACAAGTTGTATAATTATTCAAATCAGAATTTTCGGTACCTATAATGCCCTTATTTCATTTAATTACTACAGTAAACTCAGATTATGATTTCAGTGACCTTTACATATATTTTTTTAATATCATAAATGTGGTGGTAGGCAGTAATATAAAACGATAACTTACATTCTAATTTCAAATTGAATTTAATGTTTAAAATTGTTTACTAAGAAAGTGACCTCGCAAATATATGATTATAGTGGCCTATAAAAGATACATTTTACTTTTATTTGTGTAGGTGTATTCATGATTATTGAACGTCTTGACAGCAATAAGATCTTATTGTATCAGACTGGTACTTATTCTTCTTAGAATAGATAAGGAATCTCACATGAATTAGACCCATTTTATTTGGATATAAATTTGCTTTGTTTTGAATTGTTTTTGCAAAACCAAAACTAAATATGGTCTGAGTTTAGTGGCCGCCATCAAAAAATAAAAAGATATTCTATCCAAGCCATAAAACTTCATTCTCAAAATTAAGTATATTGCCATAATGTTATTTACCAAAAGTGTACAAAACTAAAATTATAGGGGTCAGCATGATTATGTGTATTTATCATTAATAAATATCAATCCTTAATTTATGATTGCCAATAGGCAGTGAGTGCAAGGCTTATATTTTTCGGTTTACTACAATCCCATTTTATGCATCATCAAACATTGACTTGCTTACTTAGAACCGTAGCTACTAACTAATATTTAAATCTATTTGTGAGTGTACAGAGTGTGTCCTAAAATTTATATGTGTTCCCTTGTAATTTCTAAGTTAAAAACTACATTTTGATCTTATGGATATATTTTTTCCAAAGTGTTATTACACTATTAGGGGTTTATCTCCTTCTCTCTTTAGTAGGGGGCTTATGGCCAGCAATAAGGCTAGCATGCAGGGCGCGACATAAAGTGCGAGATCTCTATCTGAGAATCTCTATCGCGTTTTATGATGTTCTCGCTCAAGTTGCGTCCTGTCGTGTTAGCCATACTGGGCAACATACACAGATTGGCACATACAAATAAAATAAAACCTATTTAAAATGTAGAAACTACTCATCATTCCATTTATGAGCTTGTCGGTGTAGCCTCCTCCATTCCTCATAATCTATAGCTGGCTTTATTTGTATTTTTATATTCTATGTTATAATTAGTTAAATTTAAGGTACACAAATAGACATTTAGGTCATACCAGGATACTCATAATCATAACTTGTTATCTACATACATGATTCATGATATCTGAATTATGCCAAATTAGTTGTATAAACATTGCATCCTAATATTTATTAGATAGTGATTGTAAACTTTATCCTTATGTGTCATTCATATCCTGAAAGAAGATGTCTGTTCTATTTTTTATAGGAAATTCCACATATACTTGATGAAGATGATTCCAATTTTCAGTAAATTTGGAGTGCCAATAAAAAAAGCAAGAATGATTATAAAAATACTACTTTTCCTTTTTTCCCAAATATTTTTAGTATAGAAAATCAAATCAGTTGCAGTGTCTATGGGCTATGGTTATTAGGTACTATTTATATTTTCTGTATTGCTAAAAAATACCTTTGCAATCATTTCTACTCTATTTTTTAATATTTTTTTTAAAATCTCGTCATGCATTTCATTTGGCCGTTAACAGTTTGACATTGTATATTTCTCCAAAAGTCAACTATAATTTTAGTAGTTGCTCGTAGCAAGCTTTTAGCGGCGAGGCAAGTGTGTCGGCGTGCCGGCCTTGCGCCTTGCGCGCGCGCAGCCCTTATACGGCGCGCGCGACTACCGAGAGCTTGATGATTATCATTCGCTTATGTTAAACATGAAAATCGGTTTGGGACTTGATCCTTACAATTTTTAAACTATGATTCTTGTTACTAGTATTTTTACGACTGTACGCCTTGAGAAATATGTATCTCGAATTATACGATACGATAATCGTAAAATTAAAGTATTAGACCTCGGGTCTTATTATGACTTTTACAGTTTAGGGTCTCGTAACAGTAAATAATATACGCAATGTTATGTTGATCTTTTCTTACTTTTTCTTGGTTCCGCTATGCCGCGAATAATTGTGATAGCAAAAGAATTTTTGTTTTCTTTTTAAGCGGTTTCACCCAATGGTATATAACTCAGCGTCGCGTCATTCTTATTTTTGAATGTTGGCAACAAATTGATACCTAAACACAGCAAAATAAAATAACAACACAATGACCTTTACGGAACTCGCTTTTCTAAGTTTCTACGTAACTTTTAAAGGTAAATCGAAGGCGTACGATAAATTATTGTGCTGTACATGGAATCGCGATCTGCATTATGCGTTCAATGTCTTAGACGCCAAGATGTAAAGGGAGAAAAGAAAAGAAAAAGTGTCTGAAGTTCTTGTACAACTTACAAAGGCTATTCTGTATACTTGAAATTTGACCTCAATAATCTAGAGGTTAGCACTCTGGGCGCTTCCTGAGAAGGTCCCGGGTTCTTTTCCTGGAACAATCAATGTAAATACAATGCAAATTATTTATTACTCCCAATTGCTAACAAATGTAACAATGAGTTTAGTAGCAGTAGAGCTGCTTGTGAAAGAGTTCGTCCAGGGAAGTAATGCTCACATTACTGCGTTCCGGTTTAGACGGGTAAGGGTGCGGGTGAAATTACAGCCACGTGGGACTTGTCAACTTAAGTTTCAGGGTGACGGGCACAGTGGCAGTGTCGCTAAGATCTTTGCGATTAAAAGATAAAAGTGGCGCTGCAACTGTTTTGGATAGGCGTGTCGCTTACCAACAGGCGTATGACTTGTTCGTCCTGTCACTTGGTATTAACTCTGGTGTTCGTAGTACAGGAAATCGGGTCATTAGTCAAGACCGCGATTGGTAATGATTCAAAATATAGCGCGTACCCAATATACCTGGCTTTATTTCTACGACACGAATAGAGTTCCGTATTAATTCTATAAAGGGATTAAATATTCAACTCGCGTCCCATTTATGTGAAAAAAAGTAAACTACTCAGGCAGGAAATAGTCGATCCCGCGGCAATAAATATGCAAGGTTATGGCGATGAGATGCGCCATCGCGGTCAGGGAAACACAAACACATGTTTACGAATACCTATTCATTTCAAAAGAACTTATTTATGGTTTCAATCATATCATTAGGGAGATGGCTTAAAAAAATCTTAGACCTGTCTACCGCGCAAAATTCACAAATAGTAGTCCTACCCAATGTTGTTATGTGATTATTTTAACGAATGAAAACATAGTTGTCCCATTTACAATATAATATAGAATTTTGTGAGTAAATTTCAGTAATGGATTTATTTTTGGGCGAGACTCTTGAAAAGCAGCGATGTAGCACCCTCAATAGTAAATTGGCGTAATTCTAAAAATAATATTTTTTGGTCACTGACTATACGTACGTAGTAAAACTAATACATCGTTGGAAAAACTTAAAAAAAAAAGTTTTTCATATCAAATAGAATTTTGTTATATTGCACTGTTAATACAATAGTGTATTAATTAAAAGAAGTGTATTATCTCGGAATCGATGAAAAACGAATTATTCACTTCCCGTGAAAGATCATTAAAATGTATGCATAGGTTAAGGTTTGTTACACATGTCTAAACAATTTCGCACTTTTAATATTTTAGAATAAGGACTTTTTCGGCCAGTTATAGATCACATGAATGGTGTCTCGTTTTGAGTTACAAAATTCTAACGACAGTTGTATTGACGTTTAGAGAATTAAACTTTACGTTCAATAATGATAGAATCTTTTGAGTTACAACACTACTGTAATAGTAGTGCGATATGTGGCACCAGTCAAATGGCATAATATTTTACGTACATTATTTATTATTGAGAGTGTAATGTGTCATACTTATAATACAACATCCAGGAAATATCTATAATATCCACAGATCCTAATCATTAGTTATGACAATTTATATCGCATTAGAAGCTGTTTGTGTGCTGAACGTTCCATCTGTTACTAACCTAATATTCTTAAACAACCAATGTCATCAGGCCGAAGCTAAAGCGTTCAGTAAGCTACGTTACTAGTAGCAAGCACTTCCTGATCGCTCGCCCACCACGCCTGCCCAAGGTTATTCCATCGGCATCGATCCGAGGGCCCCTATTTTAGTTTCATATTAATTGACTTATTGTTTTTACTTTATGGCCAGCATTTTTTTTTGATTGGAGAACTTTACAACCTAGCGATGTTGGAAAAGTGTTTTAAAAGTGGATATATTATGAATAGAAGGTCATTTTCTAATAATAAACCTGACATTAGGTTAGCATACCAAACAAAATACAGTCATGGTCAAAAGAAATCTTGATCAGTACAGGTTTAATTGTAATTTATACATTTCCAGAAATGTTTAATGTAACGTGTAATGTCGCTTTTGTAGATGGTGCCCCGTAAAGAGAAATTGGAGGAAACTGTTTTTTATACATACATAGACTCATATGTAATACGGGAGTTGCGTGTTTCATTTCTATGTTATAAACAAAAATACAAAGTTGCTGGCTTATGTTAAAAT